TGTGTTAACCCCGGCGCTTGTAACCTTAACCCCCTCTAGTTAAGATCATATGGCGAAAATGGCAGTCCTAAGGTCTGGGGTTGGGGATCAGTAGGATCCTACGGATTGCATTAGCCTAGACCCTAAACCACCCAAATCCTCTTGTTGCCTGGATGGCTGCAGGGTTTGAAATGCAAGGCTTGACGGGCAGCTTTTCGGGACAGGCTTTTCTTGCGTATTTGGGCTGTGCAAGTTCTGGGCTATTATTATTCTTATTACTACCATAATTACCACAGTTATTATGGCCTGTAAGGCATGAGGGTTGAGAGGTTGGTAGCTTCAAATCCTGCCACCACACCCTGAGCCCTGCAGTGTACTCTTGCTCTTGGTCCTGTATGTCCAATTTAAAGCCTCCTTACTTCCTGGCCGGGGGCACCCAAATCCCCGAACCTTCAACCGCAGAGCATGGGCTGGCAATCCAGATCTGCGACGGCAAGCGATCTTGAAACGCGGCACTTTAAGCCTTAAGCACCAAGCCCGGAATCTTTTATTCCGGGCATTCAACCTTCAACCTTATTAAGCGACATAATTAGGGATCCTTTTTGTGTGGCCGCATCATCTTTGTAATTATGCTTCCGCTGTCTGGCGGGCGGGAACTACCGGGTCCTCGACCCTGAGCCCTGGACCCCACCCTGAGTCTTAAATCTCAAGCCTTAAGCCTGATCACAAGGTTCCGCCTCCACCCCCGCCGCCGCAGCAGCAGGCGCCGCCGCCGCCGAAGCCACCGCAGCCGCCGCCGCAGCTGCTTGCCAGAATCGAGCCGCTCTTCCCCGCAACATGAGATGCCCCAGTACACCCCCACCACAAAAATGTTCAGCATGTACCCAAGATGTATTGCCGATTGCAGGGAATGCGTAAGATGTCAAATGATGCGGGGTGTGCAATACACGGATTTGCAAGATTCTCTTGAGAATCTTCTCAGGGTAAGTTGAATGCATTAGGGCTTACAGTGGCTGCTTCAACGCGGATAGCATGACTCCTAGCAGGGATGTTTGTTTTGATAGGGGGGCCTACGCATGTTGCTGTATGTGTGCTTGATCTTCTACTTACTGGTTCTTAGCAGG